AGTCTTGAATTATATTTGCATTGACTGGGTAATTGCGAAATTTCGACCTACTTTTAAGAACGTTTACTCTTTCAGGTCTAAGCCAATCGGAAGACGACTGGGCACCTCTTCAGTTCTCTGCAAAGTGGAAACAACTTACTCGATGAATTCACAGAGAATGGATTTGCTGAAACTCTAATGTCCTAGAAAACTCACTAATGTCCTCGCTGGCCGCGGATGCTTTATCCCTCACGTCAGCAGCTGTGTTGCCTGAAAAGTAGCCAGTAGTTCTGAAACCGAGGTGAACTCGACATGAAAAAAATTATGAAAAACGTACTGATATGACGTCCTGCCTCGGAAGCTCCATCTCGGGCCTTCGATGCTGCGTCACCTTGAAAATATTGTCCTTTCAAAAATGAAGAAATAAGGAAGCAAAACAAAAGAAAAGGTGGCAGAGACAAATTTTCGTCCTCTGCGTGGGCTCTACCGGACTTACAAAAGAGGGAAGAGAAATCCAACCTCACACTGAGAACGTTTTAACAAAGTGGGGAAAGTGGATCAGTGGCACTGTCAGCTGCTTCTACGGTCGACCAATAGCTCCCATCCCTCTGAGGCCGTCTAGTTGTTACTGAATCTGTCTGGGAAGATAGAAACACTCAACTGTGCATCGATTGCCCTCTAGCTCCCACCCCCAAGTCCCTTCATTCATAGTGTAGGGTAGATGGCATACAAGTGCCCTTATGAATCTGAATAAAGTAAACTGCGTGGGGCTTTCAGAAAAATAGTGGCGCGAATATTCAAGATTTTCTTTGCAGGTCCAGATATTGGGGACATTACTGGAGGGGAATAGTTCAAATGAAATTCACTCACCAGCTGCGTCTGAAGCGTCCGATGCACCCTCCTTGATGTCTTCCTTGGCTTCACCTGAATCAAGACAATATAAGGAGAGCTGCGCTGCGGACCTAAGAGTTTGTGAAGACAGAATTTGAGTGGTCAGCAATTTCTGCATGAGTACTACTTACATAGACGGCTTCACAAGATAAAGAAACAACTTACTAGCTGAGCCAGAAATGGCGCTTCCGACTGATGAGAGACCGTCCTTCACGCTATCGACGGCAGATCCTACAAGTTGTAATCATAAAGCTAAGTAGACATGACGTAAAGAGGACGAAACATTGTAAACATTGGGGAAAAGGACCATTTTGAATGAGGAACTCTAAAATACGATAAAAAGGTGGCAATTTTGAGTGCAGGTAGCCCTTTGAATGCGATGAGTACCGATGCGAAAAAAAGGGAACGGTAAGAAGAAACCCTTCGTAAGACAATGCAGCTTATTCTTGGAAAAAATTATTGCTCAATAAATACTGCAGAACTCACCAAGCCAACCTTTCGCCTTGCCTGCAGCTTCTTCTGCGTTCTCTTTCGCATTGCTTGCAGCTTCTTCTGCGTTCTCTTTCGCTTCCCCAGCTCTCTCCGCTGAAAAAATGATTTTTGTCTAAAAACAAAAACATGGTTTCGCAAGTCTTAACTTGCTACTAGAAAAACTAAGGTGTAGGAAACTAGGCTATGGCTGTTGGGTGGGTTTCCAATATTCTAACAGGAGCTCCGTATTTTGAAAAGAAATAAAAACGACGAGTAAAGGGAAACGACAGATTCAGGCTTGGCCTTACGAGAAAATCCAGCCCAATCAAACCTTCCGAACCCAGAGTCGGATATTTGGTACCGTTATCGTCTAGAAGGATAAAAATGGTGGCTTGTAAATAGGATAGCTACCCAAGTCATTGAATAGGCCATTTGGCATTCGAAATGTCTTTACATATGGTCCAAATTAGGAAGATGAGTGCGTGGCTCATCTGGATCAATCAGCGCCCCATGCTATATTTCTACAAGATCAACCCATCTGACATTGAAATCTCGAAAGATCAATCTCAGCTTAAGTAGCAAGACTCCAGTTGAGATTTTGACCTTACTCCCCCAATGGGCCCGTTCGGGCCGCCACAATGTGCTTCTCTACAGGACTTCATCCTCGAAAACGAAAGCATGCCAATGACTTACATGCAGCTTCTTTGGCCTCATTGGCAGCGTCGCCAGCTTTCTCAATGGCAATCTCGGCATCGGCTAAAAATTGAAGGATCTTGAGAGGTACTCAGCTTTCATTTTCATATATTACAAAAAAAGCAAGCACATAAATGCACATTAATTACCTGGTTTTGCCATCGCTCGAGTGAGGATGATTCCAGCACAAAGAAGGAAAAGGCACCAGTTTGAAGTAAGAGAAATCATTGTTATTGAATTTGTTGAGTAAGAGAGAATAGATTCTTTGGGCGGCCGTATAGCTCGACTTGCTATATATACCCCTTTTAGTGTGATTACTGACACCGTCGGAAACAGCTGTGCCGGCTCGTAAACAACGCAGATGACCAATCACATCAACAACAGCGAAGGTCTGCTGGTGATGTTTGAGATTTGATCGTTGAGACTTGGGCTACTTTCGAGAATCCATCTAGATCGAAACAGGCTCTCTAGGGGCATAAAACTTCTCTCTTACCCTTCTCTCGTAACTGTGGTTAGTTCTGATATCCTCAAGCGATGAGGAAGCGACGCTAGTGACCGCGAAGCAAACACATGAAGATGGCCACTTCAGGTGTCGTTTACGTGCATTTAAAACTACATCAACCATGAAGCAGGAGCCGTCTTTAGTACGCGGATCGAGGATAGGCGCCAGGTTCCTCCTTTAGTGCCACAAAGGGGTTCCCAAGCCCAAAAGCAGAGACTCGAAAGTGTGCGGAAAGAGCCCTAAGGCTTTCTCTTGCACGCTGCCGGCGCTGCCTTTCTATCAGTTGCGGCATACGTGCATTTGCGCCCTCTCGCGTACACATGCTCTCTCGCGTTTTCCCTCTCCTCGCAGCGCTGTGTCTCTCCGTCGTACCACGGCCGGCCTCACAAGGGAAATTTCATGTTTCTATGGTGCTTTTTGCTTTTTCTCCTCACTAATGTTCCTCATTGCACTTCCTGTCGAATTTTCCAACAAAAGAACACATCACTGCAATCTCACCCGTGTCTTAGGTATTATACTAGTATTTTGCTCCTGTTTTTGTTGACACATTTTGGAGTAATGGGAAATACGGGATCTTTGATTAGGTACCCAAATAGTCCCGGAAAACGATGTCCATGTGAGTGTTGGCGTTTTAATCCACGGGTGAAACGGGAGATCGATGCAAAATCCGAAAACCATAGCCTCATTATTCGCTTGGAAAGACACAGGAGAGGGATTTATGAACCATCCGATTACATATTTAGGTTATTTCGCAGCAGTAAACAACTGTGCCGAAAACAGCTAAGCTGTTCGGTTAATCGTCACCAGAGCGTGCGAAGGAGGTGTGCAGCAGGCGAGCATATGGAAAATGTGAGCCATATAGCCCTCTCTCTTGCAAAGACAGTAGGCATCCAACTTAAGAGGAAGCCGAGTCGTTGGTACGTTGATCTCTGCCCTTGATTTAGACTGTGACCTTCAGAAGAATTGACCCATATAAAACTGAACTGGTATTTCCATTGCGAGCCGCTTCTTGCCAGTTTTATCACTATGACTGATAGCCAATCTAAGAGAGAAGTGTAGTGAATGTAGGTCGATGCAATCGCTTGTGCTAGTTAAGTTGTCGCGATAGTCTACGCCGCCCGTTGTGGTGTACGTTGGCTTGCCGGATTATTTTACAGGGCGGGGGAGGGGAGGGGGCAAAAAGACATTTTGCCCATGTCGCACTTCGGCCTTTTTTTTCTTCGCAGAGATTGCCGTCGTTGACGGAAGTTCCTCAGCAAAGTATTCCCTAAATGTCCCTCTATAAGTACACGCAGGCCCTCCTTCACTGCCCTCACCGTCTTCAGAATATGACGTCATCTGTCACCGTCGTCAAGCTCAAGGAGGCCTACCGTAACTGCTTCAGCCTGAAGCTCTTACATAATTTCGTGAATCGATTCAATGTTGGATAGTTTCCTAGAATTAGCTCCCACTATGCAAACCCCTCGAAACTCGCTTTTCAGTAAAGGTCGTTATGGTACACGAAGACATCGAAGACTCCATTGATCCTTCGAAAGCTACCATTGAGCTCGACCAGTGCACCATGTTTCCAGGGCTAATTCTTCTGATGCCGTCCACGTACGTGGCCACTGAAGATTTTCTTATAGAATGAAATGCGCTCTTCAATAATAAGTTGGGAACCATTCGGTCTGAGTTGAGCAAAGTGTGCTTAAATCCATCTGAAAGTGGAGACAAAATGTCTTTTTTTTGCCCCCCCCCCTGTACCTGCAGTAATAGGACATCTGGAAATTTGATATGAAACGAAGTTTCTAATAAATAGAATGGAAAGAAACATGCAAACTTTTTTTAGGGCCTGGCTCGTGTCCCTCATCAAGCGGCACTCTAATGTTAATCATATAATGCTATTGCAGCCGGCGCTCCTTCTGTGTCCCGTGAAGAAGTTGGGACCATTCTAGTTGAGCAAGTATATCCTTCATCTGATATAAAGTCAGACTGGTGAGTGAAAAAATACGCTTCATATTGAGGTAAATAAGAACTTTTTATGTAAATGCAATTCACTATGATTCTTTATATCACGACGGGAATTTCACAAGAAGGGTCGTTCAGGTCAGGCAGCGCTTTTCCGAAACGGTTCTCCCATAGTGTAGGGACGCATTTGTGAACCACAAGTTTCGTTTCACTGAGCGGTTTCAATAACCGAAAAATTAGTGATTGTTATCTCCGTTGATTGCGATCCCGTTTCGGACTCGACATCTTTGCATTGTAATGTTGGCGCGGCTTTTCACGCGTCAATCATGATGTCGCTACCATATGAACATGACACCGATTTGACATTCCTCCACATGCGCACCAAATCCAAATCCAAATTAGTCGGCCGCGGTGCACTCGAACCTTTGCATTTTGTGTTTCTCTTTGATTGTGATAAAATGTGTCATGTAAATGGAAAACATATTTTTCCCCCTGTCATGTTATGTAGGGCGGAAGTGGTGTAGTGACAAGTGGCGCGCTTACCACGCGAGCGGTCCGGGGATCAAATCCTGGGTCGTGAGTCGCCCGGGCCAACCAAGCCTTCCATCCCTCCGGGGTCGGTTAATTGGTACCAGACTTGTCTGGGAGGAAAACACTGACTTGAACATCGGCTGGCCCCGCAAGTCATTGTATAGGCCACATCGCATTCAAACGCCACTACGCGAATGTACAAATGGAAGTAGAATGCGTGCCGCATCCCAAAAAGGGATTGATCAACGGCAAATGCTTTATCCTTTATTTTTATGTGTATACTGCCTGTGCAGAAACCTTTTGAAAAAAGCGCGCCTGCACTGAAGGACCCGTCACTGTTGGAGCGCCGCGTCGAGAGTAAGTCCGGTCCATCGTAAATTTCTGCTAGCAGACCTTTATTCGCACGGTAGAAGTGTCTGTCGCGGCTTGAAAAAGTGCGCAGACAACGTTGCTACATCGACCGGTCACCTCGCCAATTTTATCAGCATAAGTTGGCACTGATCGTGATTCTCGTTTGCTTCTCTCTAAATCGTTGTCTCATCCTGTTGTACGACGAGTCGACTGCCTTCGATAAAATTCTGTAATTTATGGTGCTTTTTTTAAAAGGTCGAAGTCAAAATTAAAAGATGACGTTTTTTAACGTCAACGGTTGATTTTGACTTGTTCGGTTTGCTAAACTGTGCTTGTACTCTTTCCCACAATGTTCCTTTTGGATCCAGAATCTTCTGGAACAAAATAAAAGTACCGGTCTCGATCGCGGATCTGCGCTTCAAGGGTGTGCAATGCCATGCCGAGAGAAAAAAAACTTGTTTTCCTTGGCCTTCGTCACTTGTGGTGTGTGCTCTGCACTCGATGCTCTTTTCATCTTTCGAAATAGAGTATATTTAAGATGAATATAGCAGCACAGACTTACTTCCATTCGGAAGTCGTGGCGCACTTGAGGCTGATTTGTTTACTGTTGTCTACCGGGGTTATTTGTTGACTTGTTCGTGTTACCGTGCTGTTTTAAATGTAGCGCAATTTCGCATTGCCAATATCACACAAGATTGCTGAGTTAGAGCAAATCATTCCGAACCGGAGGGAAACGAACACAGACTGCTGCTTTCGCGAGCTTGTTGTGCTCGCCGATTACACCACCTGGGGCACACTGACTCTCCCCAGTCTAGCTACGGGACGAACTCGAGACTCAGTCCTTCAAACATGCCTCATTGATTGCTCTCAGCCTGCGCTCTCTCGGCTTGAACACTGGCAGCCAGGGTGAATATCGGTCGAGGAAATCCTCGACAGGGGGGTCGTACCTGTTGGGCTGGTCCATGGGGGGTCGTACTCTTGGGGTCAGTAACAGAAGTGGTATCATGGTGCAGATAGGTAATAGGGTATAGCGCAGCAGAAAATGAAAACATCCGAAAAAAAACATGATATTAAATTTTCTTTGCAGGTTCAGTCGCTCCATTCCTCCACCTTCATGAGAAGGGCGTATTTGAAGGCAGTACAAAGAATGAAAGTGCATCCCCGCAAAGAAGAGTGCCACATGTGCGCACGCGCTGCAAAGGCACCTCCTCCGCCTATCACTCGCTCCTTCTCCCTTAATACCTCGCTGAGAATGACGCTGTTGTTAGGGACCCTGTCGGAAAAAACGACAACCGTGAAGAAAAAGCGCTGGGCAAATGAAGTTGTTTTTTAGGTTACAGGAATAGCACAACACACTATGTCTACTACAATACAGTTTCGTTCGAAGGTCCCCATCATATAACACCTTTCAATCGATTCTGCAACTGTGAGTGGAGGAGGGATGCATGGCTTATACCAATACCAAATCGGATGATGACGATTGCTCCTATTCTTATTGTTTGCGTTCAAAGATATTGTTCTAGACACATTCCGAGTGTTGCCAACGAGTCACACTTGCAATGGTGAATGAGGGAGCGGATTTCCAGGTGGCCGGATCCGACCTCGATAGATCCTCGACGCAATTATCTCTTCAACCAAAAAGCTGTAGAAGAAAACTAAACAGACCATCAGGAAGCGCAAACCTTCCGCTTTCCAAAACTATCTTCCCTTTTTCAGGATCTTACAATATAAGAGATATATTGCTCTTGAAGTGGCAAAAACTCGCGTGAAAATTTCGGCCTCCTCGACATTTACTCGACGAAATTTGACAGACCCTATCTTTCTGCAAGGAAGGCTTCCAGAGCAATTTCGATGCTTGTTGGAAACGCGAAATCCAGCTCTATCTAACTCTACCTCA